TATTTATTGTATACAAACATAGTTATTATTTTTCAAAAAACTTATTTATGTATAATTTTCTGATATCTTTTAAAATGTAATTTTAAAGGATTAGACATCCTATCGGCAAGCTTATATTTATGCCAAATAATATACCATAATGATACATCGCATTCATTATATATAAAGGGGGTTTTAAATATTTATGTTCTAAATAATAACTCCTTTACGGTGGCTTTTTTTAATAGTTAGTAATAGAGTATTGATAATTTAAAATATATGAAGGGAGTGCTTAATTAAAAATGCGTAATTCAAAATGTAGTAATATCGCCACCAAAGTTGGTGAATTTTAGGAGGAGGGGTTTGCATCCTGTGTATATCTTGTTATGTAGAAGCTGGAAATAGATGTAAAGACCAAATGGAAGTAGGTACAATAAATTGGAAACATTACGTTACGATACAATAATTATCAATATCAGAAGCCCAAATATCAATCGCTTCAAGACTCCACCTATTATCATGTACCTCCCCAGATTAGGTGCAATAAGATGCTCCTTTAAAGTTTAGGCTGGAAATTATTATGAGTTGGCTAAAATTATTAAAGGATCTTAAAATAAGTTCATTATTTTAAACAAAATCCAAAAACAGAAGTAAACAAATTGACCTAAAAATCTGTCATGTTTATTAGCCACAACAAAGTGTTGTTAAACGGTTGTTATCTCAATATTTTAGCCAAATAAATATTCCTTAAGCCATGATTTCGCTAATAGATGTCTATACCTTTGTTCCTTCTACAAACAAAATCTTCAGACTTGCGTAATATTATTCCAGACTAAATATTAAGTTAGCCGTTTTTAAAAATCATCTCAAAACGATTTAACAACACATTATGTGAATAGATATTGAGAATTTAATTTCAGGGTCATCAAGAACCATATACGTCATTTTCCATCACCCTATGCAGGGTTATTATTTCAGAGATGTTTTTGTAATTTTAATATAAAATTATCTTACGCCTGGTAGCTTTTTATTATATAAAATATATTACAATATTCAATAATAATTATTATGAGTTTAAAAAAATATTTTAGTATGTGCACCATTTTTCAAGTATTAATATAATATCATGGGTTAATAAAATGATTATATTTAGACTTTATATTTTATATATAATAAGATTTAATTAAATTTTATGAACAAAAACCTTTTATCCTATCCTAAACTACTATATGAAACTTACTCAAATACTCATTTAATCTATTATCATTTACTATAATCATATAATTACTATAATCATTTAATTTAGATACCATTTATATATATATATTAATTGTATCTTTTTTGAAATAGTTTTGAAACAGTTCTTATATATATTCTATTTATCATCGTGTGTGATTGCTATTCTTACAAGGCGGATTCTCTGTAAGATATAGAATCGCACGATAATCATAGAAATATTTTTTTATATACAATGAAAGACCATAGTATTAGGATGATTTCCTTAAATATAAGATCGCTAAGTGACAAACTCACAATTCTTAGGCAAACTATAAACGATCAACGATACGACATCCTCCTTCTACAAGAAACTCACTTGAAAGAAACGGAAGTAAGAAATCTCTTAGAATACACCTTATACTGCAGCTCGAATGCTGAACATGTTTGGGCAGGTGTAGCAATCTTAATCCATAACAAACTAATTAAATATGTAAGCTTTAATCCAATTTCCAGTCGCATTTGCTGTCTTACCTTAAATATTGGTTACAAGAAAATTCACCTGTTCAATATTTATTCACCACATAATAATAAAGTTTTTTACATAGAGCTGGAAAATATCTTAAAAGAACTACCTCATCGAGATAGTATCATATTAGCTGGCGATTTCAATGCCTCGGTTGGGAAGCCTAACAATTCTACCTGCCTCGGGAACGCCACTCTAGTACAAAGTACGAACACTAATGGCAAAAAACTAATAGAAATCTGTGAACACTTCAATTTGAAAATAGGAAATACCTTCTTCAATCATCCTAACCATCACACCATGACCTACAAAAGCCCATCTTTTGGCACTACCTCACAAATTGATTTCTTTGTAATTTCCAACAATATATTTAAGTGGGTGAAGGACATCAAAGTCATCAGTAAACTGAACTTCACCTTATTTACGGACCATTACCCACTAGGATGCGAGCTAAGGATAAAAAATACCATTTTTCCAAACCGAAATCAACATAACCACCTTAACTCTACACACTTCATAATGAGGAAAGACTTGGCACAGATGAATGATCCGGTTATAAAGGAAGAGTTCATCACCAATCTAACAACATGGAGAAACACCCAAAATGGCATGATCAATCCTTATATAACTTGGAAGGATATGAAACTAAGTTTATCAAGCTGTATGAATTCATGCTTAAGACCACGAATTAAGCGTAAAGAATGGCTATCCCCTTCAACAATACAGATAATTAAAAACTTAACAACAAATATCTCCTATAACCAATATACTAAACACCACAGAAGGTACATAATTCACTGCATAAGAACAGATAAAAGATATTTTATTGCCAACTTATCTAGATCCATACAATATAGCTTTGACAACAATAATATTTACAAGGCTTTCCAATCTCTTAAGTTACTCACTACCTTTAAATCCAATCCTCTACCAAGATTACACATTGAAAATAATAAAATTATAACGGACCCCAGGGAACAATTAGCGATATGGACAGACCATTACATGAACCTTTACAGAACAAGATGGCCTAAACCATTATGTGACTATCCTTTCCAACCACCTAATCGGAACCTGAACAGAATAGATATAATCAATGCCATTAAAAGACTAAAAACCCATAAAGCAGCCGGAATCGATGGGATTTTTGCGGAACTTTGGAAGATAGATGCTGATTTAAGTGCTAGTCTACTGCTTCCCCTCTTTAATGAGATATGGAATACTGGCAATTTCCCAGAGGAATGGATGACATCGATAATACTTAATTTCCCTAAAAATAAGAACCCGACTAGCCTGAAGGACTACAGAGGAATTGCACTGATCCCAGTTACCCTAAAAATGTTCACGTATATTATAGCCGTCAGGATTAAACCAATCATCGATGGAAACCTCTCAAACGCCATCACATCATATAGGAAGGGCAGGAACACGACGGAACTAACCATGGCGCTTAAGGTTATTCTGGAGAAAGCTAGAATGCATAAGTCCCCAATATTTGCCCTAATGATTGATCTAAGTCAAGCCTTTGACTCCATCATACAGCATAAGATCTGGCCCTTACTGGAGGACATAGGAATAGATAAACATCTGATTTCGCTTATAAAAATAATATACGATAATCATAACGTGATACCACAACATCTGAACTTAAAATCACAACCATTTAAGGCCAACAGAGGACTGAAACAAGGATGCATTTTATCACCTATGCTATTTAATGTAATAATGAACGATATTCTGAATAAATCCTTCAAACAAGAACATGCTCTTAACCCTCGATATCTGAATCAACAATATGATAATAACATACACAACTCTCTAAATTTTCTATGCTATGCCGATGATGTATGCATATTAGCTAACTCTGAGTACAAATTAAGAAACTTGCTGTCATTGTTTGTCAAAAATTGCTTTGGATACGGACTGAAAGTCAACTACTCAAAGACAAAGTTAATTGTATCCAATATCCCTCTATATAACAGCGACCCCTTTAACTTTGAGGATAATGTGGTGGATACGGTCTCGGATTTTAAGTACCTAGGAACCAGAATAATGTCATTAGGCACCACCATTTTGGATACTAAGTCGAGGACCAACAAGGCCAGATCCCGATATCATCAGCTAACTAAATTATGGTCGTCCAACCAGATATCTACGAACCTAAAAATAAGACTCTTTAAATCCCTAATTCTACCCATCTTAACATACGGGTTGGAAACATGGCAGGACACTAAAAGCAACATCAACACATCCCAGACCTTCATAAACAAGTGCTTAAGAAGAATCACTAAAACTTACTATCCATACAACACCCCAAACACAACTCTCTGGAACAGGTGCGACATCCTACCTATCAAAAGACTCATTCCTTTGAGGAGATTAGAATTACTCGGCCACTGCTTAAGACATTCACGAGATAATATGATATTTTCGTCCATGGAGTTGACCCCGGATTATGGAAGGCGAAGAATCCCCAAATACTACTGGCTGGCAAAATGTCTGAAGGACATGGACTTGATCAATCTTACGTTTATAGATTTTCTTGCACTCAGCAAAAACAAGAAACATTTAAAGGAACATCTGCAATACATGCTTAAATATGGTTTAAACTAGAGCAGGAATCGTGGACGTATCAGACTATTTCTCACACTGCCTTATTTCCAATCTCTTATCCCCAGTCTAATGACAACTTATGTTTTGGCGCATTAGGAATTATGATTTTTGACGAAGTCAATGATAATCTTAAAACCGTGAATATTGATAATGATAACGATCTCCAGGCTCAATATAATAATGATAATAGTGAATAACATGGATTCTATAGACATTGCGTTATCTTCCAAGGATATACTTACCAAACATTAAGAAATTTTTTTTTCCCATCTCTTAAATCTAACCAGGTGTCAGGTACATTATTATTATTAATATTAGCTACAATTCTTAACACTATTTTGCCGGTAACGGAACTAATAGATCCCCTCTTTCTTACTCCTCTCTTCTTTACTATGCTAGCTGACTACATAGTGGTACCGTCCACTATAATAAAACGGGTATACATCATGTATAGGATCTATATACTAGTGAATATACATGGTGCACGCTACAACTCCTGGTGGGTGATGAAATTGCACTTCGTGCAATTTCTGGTGTGGTAATGAATGAATGAATGAATTAAATTTTATATTTATGTCGTTTCGGGAATTTTTTTTAATTTGCATATTCTATACTTAGCAGTATAACATTTGTATATATTTTATTATCTCACCTGGAAATATTTTTTCATATTAATATATTTAATACCATGATTGATAATAATAGTCCCATATCCAACGATATAAAAACCTTACATCAGTTATCAGAAAATGTGCTATGCCAAAGACTTTTATCTCAAAAAAATCTGCCTAATAGTGGATTGTCAATAACTGATAATGACATAGAGAAATCACTCAGGATTGTACAAATAAAAGATGATAAGGATTTACATAATTTATTTCATAATATTATCAATTCCAATGATAATAAATATTACATAAAATTATTAATCACTCAGAATACATTAGAAAAAAATAAAATAATTCCGTATATGCTTAATTTGGTAATTTTATCATGTAATTATTATTATTACAATCTTATTAGCTTGTAGCAAATGGAAGCTTTGACTTTGAAAACAACTATATTATAGATTATCCACAAAATCTTATAAAAATTCTGAATATTTTACCACTAATTGACAAAGATATAGAGGTTTTTTATTATGAATATTTCTATCTTAATTAGTTTCAAATAATATAAACTAAATTATACATATAATTGTTATAAGTCATGATTGCCAATGTTTAACATATTTTTGTCCATTTTAAATTATTATATAATTTTATTATCTTAAATTAGTAATCATTATTTTATTTGATACTTAATTATTCATTTATAAGATATTTTTAATTATGTTAATTTTTAAGAATTTTTATCCACATGTTATAAAACTTAGATAATCACTTTCATGCTATTTCCATAGGTTTTCATGATGCTTGGAATTTGAAATCCTATCATGGGCTGCAAATATAATACTTAAAGCAAATAATAAAATAAATATATTTTCATTAAAATGAGAGGGGGGGGGTCATTTTGGATAATAATTTTCACTATAAATTTTATTGGATGTGTTTAGGTTACTCCCCTTGAACTTTTGTTGGATTAATTTAAAAAATTATTTGGTGTTTTTAAAATTTCAAGTTATCATTTAAATCTTCAAAATGTTTAGATTTTCTTCCCCCCCCCCCATGTTGTTTTACTGATCTTATTTTCTGGAAAGATCCATATGTTATAATTTACTGTAAATATTACTTCAAAAAAGAAACAAGTTACTCATTACATCTCAAAAAAGTAATGGGTTACTCGTTACTTTAAAAATTAAATATTATATACAAAAAAAATTTCCCTATATATATAATATAAATAAAATTATGAAAAATAATCTATTAAAAGATAAGATATGTTTGTAATAATTTTTTATTTATTTTAAACATTTTAAAATTTTGATCAGATAAACAAGTGTGCTTAGTGCTAAACACAGCTTTCACTTTGCTAAACACGTTAAACTGATGTAGAGTATGGGAGGGTTGTATTATATTGGAATTTTAACTGGAGGAATCTATAAAAATTAAAGAATAATCTTTATTAAGAAAAAAGCTTAGTTCATTGTCAAAAGAATCTTCATTAGATTTTCTCCAATTTTTTTTATAATCTGTATGTGTGTTGTTTTTTAAAGGAATCAAGTCTGCCTTCTCATTGTCAAGATCTTTTCTTAAACAGGAAATAAGTTTAAGCTTCCTTCGCTGACATAGTGTTATGATGGCCAATCTTATTTAAATAGTAGGTGAATTATTGCTGATAATATATAATCAATTGAAATAAAATGTTACCAAAATATAAATTGTGAACAATACTTCAACTGTATACTTTTTATCTTTGTCTTGCAGGATTTCATTAATAAGTGGCTTACAAAATGAAATTATATGAAGCAATTTTTTTAATATTATAATTGTTATCATGGGAGTGAGATTTCCTAAATGCATTTTTACCTCTCTTGTTGAAAGAGCCATAGAAACAGGTTCCATAACCTATAAAATCATATATATAGCCATACAATATTCATCTATGAACCACATGTCATTCATTATCTGAAAATCTCTTTAATTTAGATTATTTGTAATAAATTTGGTATAGTACATTATCAATTATCATGCCCACAAAGAATCAAACGTCTTCTAATGTTTTGGGGGATTGTACATTTTGATATTGATGTGTGGTCAACATGTTAAACATAACTGAGGTTTTTAATAGTTCACCTTTTAAGCCGTTTTCTTCGGAGGCTTTTGAATAATTATTCTCCCAAATGGTTTTTTCCATCTTTTCCGGTCACAAGAATATCATCTCAGTATGCCATAGTTTTTGTTAGCCTAGCTATAATAAGCATATTATCTATCATACGCTGATTAATCATGGGTCTGAATGCCATAACATTTTTGGAGTATACTCATTAGACCACAATTTTTTTTCGACTGAGATTTGTGTATATGCTTCTAAATCTACAAGGAAAAATATTTCTCTTTTTAGTTGACTAAAGGTAATGCAAATATCTTATAGTATTTTGTAATTTATGCATAAACGAATTGAGTTGAAACGGTATTTTTCGAGTATAATTATCTTCCCTCTCTTATTAATCTTCTCTCTACTTTTTATCTTTAAAGTATGAAGGATTTAACGAGGTGTAAGATAATTTCGGTATGGCGTTTTCTTTAGGGTTATGTTTACGGAACCTGCAAAGTTTCCTAATTTATCATCTGTGATAGTTGGTTAAAAAAAAATATTTCCTCTAGTAGATCTTGAAAAAAGTTTGGATGTATCCTTATCGGCGAATTGTTTTTTTAGGAACGCCAACATTTTAGTACGCCAGTTATTATGATTCTGTGTGTAAGGGGTCAGTGGAATATTTTCGAAGGATTCTTCTTATAATTATGGTGCTAAAATGATAGAATCAGGTGATCCCATAATAGACAATGAATTTAATATCGTTTAAATATTGTAGACCCACAAACATTAGGATATTCACCTATGACCCAAGATGAAAACTTCTACCAATAATAAATTTCTAAAACCCCCAATAAAATATAAACCAAATTTTTATCACTCTTTTCGATCATAACGGATATCGACATTAGCAAAGAAATTGGTAAATTGAAGAAAGCAACGAATACAAACTGTAACTGCCTCCCTCAGGTGACTAAAATATAAAATGATTCAATTTTACAATGGATACCCAACTGACCTATATATATATAGGAGCACCCCCTGAATTATTTCTCAAATTTCAGATATATGTAACTGTATCGTCCCCTTCTCATATCAGTGGGCTCTGGCTACGTACGACAACATTGGAACCTTTAAAATTGAAAAAAAATCCCCCAATAAAAGCAATTTTAAATACGCAATATAGACCTAAAAATTTTTTTTCTCTTGGGGCACACAAATCCTCATATATTGGGTACACTAAATTGTCGGTGTTCTTAAATTTTTTCGTAAAGATCCCCTAATTTTTTTTCAGCAGATCTCGAGAAAATAAATCATTTGCTTATTATACCTCACCTCGTTCTTCACATCTTCTCTCCCTTTCAAAATATTTTCGATATTATATTCTTTTTTCGGAAAAATAAAAATAATATTTAAACTCCTCTTTATCTATATTACTTTATTGATTTTTTTTTCTTCTATCTAAAAAAAAATAATAATGTTTTAAAAATTAAGCTTTTATCTCTCACCCGCGTTTTTTTTTAAAAAAATCTAATTTTATTTCAGGTAATATTTTAAAACATTTAACGATATAATTAAATATTCATATAAGAATAATGAATCACGAGATTAAGTTGGGGTTTATTGGCTGGAAAAATAGTGGAATTTCTTATCGTCGAATCTAAAATTATTTAAGATAAGCCCTTAATTTATCTATGACCTTCCATTCCATCCTCCTTTTATTGTTTTTTTTTAAATGTTAAAGCATTAAGTATGCAAAATATTTCGCATTCACGAGCCTGCACGTTGTTGTAAAAAATATTTTTAACCCCGCATTCAAATTTTTGTGTTGATCGAATTAGGTATTTTTTCTTAGTAAAGATTAAGAAAAAATACCGGATTTGGAGTTTAAGGCTCGGTACCTCCGAAAGTTTTTGATTTCATAGAATACCAGCGCAATTTTATTGTAAAAAAAAATAAAAAGATGTCGTATCCATTCCCTTAGTAAAGAATATAAGCAACCGGATTTTAAAAGTGCCCACCAAATTTATAACCATTATTTTTAATTCGAATATCATAGTTCTCTTCCCATCACTCCTCGTTAAAAGATTGAAATTGAAATTGCCCCATATCATTTTATATCATGAGATTATATAATAGATTATGACTATTTTTTTAAATGAAAAATTTATTATTCCTCTTTTTAACACCTTTTTTAATAATAAAAATGTAATTGCTTCTTTGATCTGTAATATAATATTTAAATAAGTTAATAGGGTTTTTTCTAAAAAAAACAAATTGTTTTAATTATAATTTACCTTTTTTTTCGCTATTCTATATAGTTAATAAAAACACTAAAATTGATAACATTATTATTTTTTTTTAAATATCATATTTTACTTGTAATTTATATTTTGTTTATACAACAGGCGATGGGGGGAATAAATTAAGTTATGAAAAATTTGCACTCTAATTTCATTGTATTTTTTTTTCTAATCGACTTCACTCGCGCAACTTATGCATAAACAAATTTAATAAAAAGAAAGAGAAGTAAAAATTAAATGAAACTGTTCATTTAGAGCTGTTAAACGGCTAACTCAGTATTTTAACCAGAAAAATATTGACTAAACCTCAATATTTCGCTAATAGATGTATAGACCTTTGTGCCAATCTATGAGAAAAATCTTCAGACTCAGATCAAATCGAGCCATTTGAAAACATTACTGTTCATCGTTATTTTAAATTTTGGAATTTAATTCACAATAGTCGCCTACTATCTTTATTACGCGATCTGCTTTATTTTTTGATCTTTACAACATAGAATTTTGAGTTAATTTTAAAAAATATTTTTAATATTGGTTTTGTTAAGTTTTTTTTCTCCCCTGTAAACTAAACAGATAATAATGGTGGGACACCATATAGTAATTTTATAATTGGCTAAATATTTAACATATTAGCTCACTTCATATCGAGAGACCTATCCGGGTCAGTTCAGAGTCACAAAAATTAATCCAGACCCGAAGGCAAAACTAGTAAGGAGACCAAAGTTAGCAAACCCAGAATTCTGGGCTGCTTTTAATATTGTAAAAATTGGTGAATATTGTTAAATAATAGAATTTATACGATTTCAAACCCAAGTCAAAGTGGTAAAAAATAACGGCGTAAATTTTGGTGAGCCGAACTTCTCGAGTACCTACGCTGATTAAGCTATGTGAGTTCGAATAATAAGTGGGCTATTTAGCTTTCTAGTTCATTCGCCATCAAATTAATCGAATATTTTAAACTATATGATGTAATTTATTTTTACTCTTTCAGTAAGTTTATTGCTAATTGATCCGACTCGGCTTAAACTCATTTGATTCAGCCCAATTCGACTCGACCCGAAATGAGTTGATTTCCTCGTAACTGGCCTAAACTGGATTTGATAGTGGCACAATGACCGTGTATTTAGAAAA